CTGGGTCCATCCATGTTGTTGCAAATGGCAGGATTTCATTCTTTCTATGGCTATTTAATATTCCATTGTGTACGTGTACCATTTCATCCATTGGTAGATACTTGGATTGATTCTATCTTGACTACTGTAAATAGTGTTACAATAAACATGGGATGCAGGTATCTTTTTGATATACTGAATTCCCACCCTTTGATATACCCAGCAGAGGGACTGCTAGATTATATGGCAGTCCCATTGTTAGTTTTTTGAGGAACCTCCATACTGTTTCCTATAGTGGTTGCACTAATTTACAATCCTACCAACAGTATACAAGTAACCCAATAATTTCACAGACAAAGAAACTGAAGCCAAATGCATAAAATGTCTTGCTTAAGCACATGCATATGACTCCTAGTTTAATGTTGCTTTTTCTACAACAAATACATCTTTCATATTGACCTTAAATACACTATGAGACTCAAGCAACTTGCTTCCCAAATCAGAAAACACAGATTGAACTCCTTGTTCTACTCTTTTCCCGCTTCTCACTACTGTACTTGACTAGGAAGAAAAAAAAAAGGAAAGAAAACATTTCCCAATACCACACAATCAGCTTTTAACAACCAAATGTGATAGAAACCACTAGTCTTAGGAAGCAATTTCTGTATTTTTGTATTATTTTATTTGATTATAATAATAATTCAATGGTAAAATTTTCCTCCCTTTTTTGTGGTAACAAAAAAGAACAGAACAAAAGTTGTGATTGAAACTACTTATAGAATTCATAATCTTTACATTTGAAAAAGACCTTAGTAAGTAATGTCAGAAGACCAGACTACTTAAAAGTACTTCTGTGAAAACTCATCACTTATTCAATAGTATCTTTATGCAGCTTTACTTCAGGGAATAATTAATGTCAAAATAATGTCCTGTAATCTTATATTCACCACAAATTTGTTCTTTGAGCAACTAAAACCATGTTAGGTTGCCTGTATAGATCGAAGCTGGGCTGCTTGCTGTGAACAGCAAACAGGTGGAAGTTACTCACAGTAATGACTGTGTATCATTTTCTTGACAAGATCATAGATTATATCAAAATTAAATCAGAACTTCTTAAATGAAAACGTCAAAACAAGAGTTTGCCTTAGCCTTTTCTTGACTAAAGATTTTTAATCACTCTATAAAATCATGAAATTCATTTGAGACATGAAATGTGTGGGGTTTCTCAGTTAAATTATAGTTACAAGCAGAATGTCTCAAACCCAAAGACATGAAGAAAATGTTGTTCTACCTAAAGATAAATAATTTTACATTATCCTCCAATATTAATACTTTATCAAATGACACTGAGGGTTTCAATAATTTCTACTTGAAAAATACACTAAGGTATCATGGCAGAAAAGTACTGAAAGCATGTGAACGCCACTAGAACCTAGGGGGTTACATGTTTACTTTTAAATTACTTGAATGAAGAAATTAACAGAGTAACTTTCATAATATATTTTTCTTAATAAAAAATTATGCCTTCAATTTTTATGTCTTCTTTGTCCTACACATGTTGGTGGTACTTATCAGTATTAGTAAAAAGAACTCTAAAGCTCAGGTGGCACCTGTGGCTCAAAGGAGTAAGGCACTAGCCCTATATGCCAGAGGTGGTGGGTTCAAACCCAGCCCTAGCAAAAATAAATAAATAAATAAAAAACTCTAAAGCTCGCTCATCGTTAAAAGTTTTGCTCAAATACCATATCCACCAAAAGCTTCACTAGAAGAGATAAGATCAGAAATCTCCAAATTTCCTAGAACTTCGCCCATAGCCTCTTTAGAATTTAACACTTTCTATCTTAACAATTAGCAAGAATCAGTCTCATCTACTGAAGATCATGTCTTAAATGCCTGACCTTCCCTGGCCCATAAGGAGGAGTTCCAAGAACTCTGACCCAAGAATCGAGACCAGTGCTATATGAGAGAATTGATGCAGATGGCTCACAGCAAGAGTAAGAGGGAAGTGGCCAACCAACTGGTGAGGAATAAAGAAGAACTAATTGGTATCAAGGGGGGAAGGATTGAGGACTTGAGAAAATGTCTGAAAGGGTGGCCCAAAACAAAAATAAGGATTTGAAGTGAAAGAAAGGAAAAAAAAAAAAAATAGACAAGATAAATGGGAGGGTCAGCACGGTAGAGACTGGAAAAGATCCCAAGGCAACAGTGTACAGTAAGATGCCTCTGATTAAGCACATGGGCAAAAGATCTTAAAGGTTCTGCATCATGCGGCATACTGAAGAGCAGGGAATAGGTCTTATATAATTGAATTGAGAGTCAGAAGAGCTAGACTCTGTACAAGCTCTGACATTTTCTAGGTGTGTGACTTAGCAAGGCAATCACTCTGAACTTCAATTTCCTTGAAAAAAAACACCTATTTCACATGGTCATTCTAAGGAAAAAATAATTTATGTGAAAGCACTTTACAAACATTTAAACTACAAATGTAAGGTACTATTAAAATAGCACAGGATGCCCCTATGTAACTAATTTTGGTCCATTTTTACTATGGAAAATTTCCCAGACACATATTTAGAATGGAACTTTTATTTTGATTGAAAACTTTACCTCAACTACTTAAAAATTTGCTTAAAGATGTAAAGTGTTGAATGGCATTGTTCTACTTTAGTTTTATTGATTTCTCCATATATATTTGGCCAGTAACATTTTCTGCTTTCAATATTGTAAGAAAAAGCAATCTTTTCCTCTTCCCTCCTGTGTATGTGTGTGTGTGTCTGTGTGTGCCTATAATTACACTGTGTAACAATTATTACTCAATTCTTTCTAAACAAAAATTGGTTAAAACCTTTCCTGACTAAATAAACCGTCAATTTCATCAAGAAGCTGTGATGAACAGGATTCCAGGTGAGTGGTATTCCTAAAATGTTTGAAATAAAGGTTCTCTTTCCATGTGCTTTATTAGTGCAACATTTTCTCACTCATTCTCCCCAAAGATATGAAGGGAAAACACTTTAAAAATAATTTACAAGGCACTAACAGCAATAAATGGGAAAAAGAAAATACTATTACATAAGGAGTCGCTAGAAAAAGGACAAAATTTTTTGCATAAGAATACCACTGGAATTTGGGAAATAATGAGATATTTCCTCCAAAATATCACCAGTTTAAGTTCTAGTATTCAACTTAAAATAGTTTTGAATTAGATTTGAATAAGTAATCAATACATAAAATGTTCATACCCTTGTAAGAGAGTGGGATTTTATACAACATACAATATATTCTATATACATTACTTATAGGGCTGCTTTTATTAAGATAAATAAGATATAAGCAACTGAATAATAATAATAAAGCATATAAAAACTAAAAATAATATTAACTTATATTTAGGATAAACTTCATCATGCCCTTTCCCATACTGACACAGAAAATATACTCTCTTAAAAAAGAAAAAAGAAACAAAAGTCTGGAAGTACCTATCAATTTAATAATTTAAATTAAAATTGAGTCTGGTAACTGCCGTGATTGCCAGAAAAAATCCAGAATTTTCAGGATTCTGGATAAATTCATCATTTACAAGTCTCTGGATAAATTTAAGTGCCTCCAAGAAAAAATAAAGTAGATTTTTTAAACATAAAACAGAAATCCCTGTATGAAACACTTTCTAATACAATAGTTTCTAGAATATTATCAGCCAATGCCAAACATGAATTAAGAATAATTTACAAGAAATAATAAATTATATAACTGAAATGATAGCATCTACTTATTCAAATAGATTAGAAACTAAAATTCCTATGTGTTAACTTTCACTTTAAAACATACTACTACAACACTGAGTATAAATAGTTTAAATATATGTACCAAGATATCAATGTATACTAAGTACTTGCTAAAAAATAACTTCCTAAACCTTGGTTCTAGGAATCAAATGACAGTCCAAAATAAAACATCAAGTCAGATGCAACTGATAAAAATTTTTTAAATAAGCTGAAATTTCAGTCTGTATTTCTATGTTAGAAATTTTAAGGTGTTTTTGATCATTCCTTTGCTTTAAAATCAATCCAAAATTAAGAGACAATGTTTTGAAGTTATTTCAAAAATAATATGTATTAGTAATTTTTAGTAATTACTATTATTCTAATATTTAAGAAAATGTATACCTTTTTCAAAAGAACACATTAATGTGTTTTAAACAGGTTTTACTCCCTACACCAATCACTTTAGGTAACATTCAACTCCAGTGTTATGGGGCCAATAATTGGCTATATTGTCACATTAACTAGTATTACTCCTAGTGCTCACGTTAATTCTCTAAACAATGACTAAATAGTTATAGCATCTAAACCATGCTCAAAAAACTAACTTTAAGTTTCAAATTTCTCTCTTCTCAAATATCCCTTCACAAAACAGTTGAAGGCACCATGTACAGATACATGACACAACTCCTGGGTGAGGGGCACAACTGCAACAGGGACTTTATCTAACAAATGCAAACAATGCAAACTAATCATTTGTACTCTCATATTAAACTGGAAAAAAAAGTATTGAAGAATCATGCTTATAATTTAAGCCGTGTGTGTATATATATATATATACATAAAAAAGCAAATAACCACATCAAAATATAGCATAAATATCATTTATTAATAGCAACAACATAACAGAAATCCATAGGCAACATGATCTGTCTGCATAGAAAGATTTTCTAAATTAGCTGAATGTAAAAATTCTTCAAAAGAATTTAAATTTTAGGACAAGTTTTTTATCATTGAGAATAAAATGGTGTTTTACTTTTGAAATATATAAATAAACCTGACCGATTAGTATGACATTCATTTATTGAACAATCATAGTCTAGAAAGAGATATGCACGTGATTCTTCTAAATGTAAGATATTGAAGTATATATAACATAAACAGAATTTGAAAATACACCAAAAGACCCTTTTGCCTGTATATGCTTTCAAAAATGACATAAACAAAAATTTCTTTTAAAATCTAGCACTATTTAGTACTTACTTAAACAAGATCTCTTGCCAGCTGTGCTTGCACCACCTGAACATAAATTGCCTCCTCGATGAATCAATTCAAGTTCCAAATTGGTTCTGTAAGTAATGTTTTATAATTAGGCTTAGTCACTAGGGTAAAGAGAGTCTTTTTATTTGCTTTATTGACATGTCTGAATCAACCTAAATAATAAAGTTCTTCTTATTAATTTCAAAAGTACAGTTTATATGGTATCAGTAATACTATTTTATCTAGTATTTAAGAAATTTAAAAACCAGTTTATCCATCCTTAACTTATATGTTCATATTTTATACCTGCAAAAAAGTACACACGTCATGGTTTTATTATTGTAAAGTCCCAACTGTTGGCAAATGTTAAAAACTAGGCCTTAAGGAAAAAAGCATGTTTCATGAACCTGCCTAAGAATCTGATGAAAGAATCTGTACTCCAACTGTCAGCCACTGGGTAGGTATTTACTCCCGTATAAAACACAAGGGCATACCAATTTTTCTATCAGAGAAATTATTATCACTCACTGAAGCTTAGTCGGCTTCTGGAAATTAATATTAAGAAACAAAATCCCTAATAGTAAAGTAGCTATGAAAAATACATATAATGAACAGCAGTCTCTTTTAGACTTCTAAAATTATAATTTTATTAAAATATACTGTATAACTTGACATGGCTAAACATCAGTATTATCACATGGATCTGAAATGGAAAGTATTTAGCAGGGATAAGCTTACATAAAAGCAATAAATAACAATTAGACACTTCAAAAATGAATACAGAATCTAAAGATTTACTCAAAAATAGTAAAACAAAAAACTCAGTTATGCCAAAATAAAAACTGAGATTTAGATTACATTTTTCTTCAGTAGTTACTAATAAACTTAAATATACCTTTATTTTTTATAACCCAAACTGAATTAACTACTTTATATCCAAGATATGCATTTGAAACTAATAGTGAGATATCCTCCCTTTAAAAAAAAAGGCAGTTTCAAGCTTACTTTTTGCAAGTGAACTCAAGAAAAGACTGTTATCCTATTTCATTTAAAACAAACATTATTAATTGGTTTGGTTGCATTTTGAACATAGAATGTTTTGAAATGATATTTTCATATATTTACTTATAAACACAAACTAATATTCCTAAGTCTGTACATTTGCCATCCATTTCTAAAGGAATGCTTTAATTCTCTCTACTGGGCCTGGGGTGGGGGGTGGGAGAAGCAATTTAACATTGATAATGTTCCTGCTCAGAGCTCCATCTGGTTGCTGCTGATAAGGGCATCTGTGTGACAAGGGAATTTTCCACCCTTCAGGCGATTTGCATTGCTCACTGAACTTCTAAAAACCTACCAGCAAGGAAGCAGGGACAAGGATTTCATATTAGTGGACAGAAAGCAAGCGGAGACCAGCATGTGTTCCTTCATCAAGGGAATATAAATGAGATCAATACATTTTGTTTTCACAAATCTTCCGTTGCCTAATCTGTAGAAAAAAATTAATGGCTATATTCTCTTATGAAAACTAAGATTTCCTAGATAGCACTTTATAGAGAGCTAACCAGAAATATGAACAATTCTTACAAATGAATGTCAGAACCAAAATGTCAACATTTCATCATATTTGAAAAATTATTCATTAAAATATAAATATAAGAACAATTCTGTTTATTCAATCACCAGACATGAAACTTCACAGGATGACAAATATATTATTAGGAATTTCATTTTAAAGAATACTTGGGGAAAAATATAATAAATCTAAATAATTATTTCATATTATAGTCAGATGATCTCTTACATAACACTTCTTCTGGATTAAAAAACAAAAACTGGCTAACCAAAGGGCTACTGTGTAATATTAATAGTATCTAGGATTTTAATATTTTTTTGATTTTAATATTTTTAATATTAATTTTTTCTTTTCTTTTTTTTTAAAGATGGGGTTTTGCTATGTTACCCAGGCTAGATTTGAACTCCTGGGCTCACGCAATCTTCCTGCCTCAGCCCTCGGAGTAGCTGGGATTACAGGCTATATGCCACCTTGCCCAGCAATATCTAGGATTTAAAAAATCAATACTGCCCTAACTCTTAACTTTTTCCATTTCATTCATATGAAAATTGATCCTTTGAGACTTAGTAGAGTATAAAACAAACAAATGGTTCATGCATTCCATATCTATATTTCCTCACTGTTGAAAATCCCAGCACGGTATTCCCTACCATCATCTTCCCAAATGGATGATGCAAAAAATAAAGATATGCCAGAAGTGGGAGTTTTGAGGTTTTTTTTTTTCCTTTGAGAAAAGGAGCCTTGAGCCTCAAGCTGTCGCCCTGGGTAGCGTGCCATGGCATCACAGCTCACAACTCCTCTGCTTAAGGTATTCTCCTGCATCAGCCTCAAGAGTAGCTGGGACTACAGGTGCCCACCACAACACCTGGCCATTTTTTGGTTGTAGTTGTCATTGTTTAGCAGGCCCCACTGGGCCAGATTCAAAGCCGCCAACTCTGGTGTATGTGGCTGACGCCCTAGCCACTTGAGCTTATAGGTGCCACCTGAGTTTTTTGTTCTAACGTAAAAGTGGACTTGCCTATATTTTGTAAGACAGTAATAGTAAAAGTTAGTTTCAAAGAAAAAAGGAATGATGAGAAAAGACTGCTTAATGTCTATCATGGTGGCCACCTAGATATATTGGTATATCCATATAAAAACGCCTCTAACTATGCTCCAATTTCTTTTTGCATGACCAAATTCTGCTCTGCCCTCAACCCTCCTTTGACACTAATTTCTAATTTCAGAGCTATAATTTGAAAAATAAACGTGTATATATGCACACAGACACTCATATACACATTGGTATAGCAGAAAGGGTAAAAGCTCTGGAAAAAGATCTAGGTTAAAGGCCTGCCTGAGCCTACTACTTACTGGTTGAGCAAGTTTCTCAATTTCTCCAAGGAAAACTTTCCACAGCCTATTTATATAAGATGTAACTCAAGTTCTGACTTCTCCAAGAAGCTTTCCTGGGACAGGAAAGAAGGACTTCTGCATACTTTATATTTCAATTTTTTTCCTTTGAGACAGAGCCTCAAGCTGTCACCCTGGGTAGAGTGTCGTGGCATCCCAGCTCACAGCAACCTCAAACCCTTGCACTTAAGCTATTCTCTTGCCTCAGCCTCCCAAGTAGCTGGGACTAAACGTGTCCCCCACAATGTCACAACAGTTGTCATTGTTTTGGGTTCGAACTTGCCAGCTGTGGCTGGTGCCATAACCACTGTGCTACAAGCACCAAGTCCAGTTATAACTATTAATTATTAATGTGCTAAAAAAAAAAATCATGGGAACTAACTGTTTTGCTATGTCACCAATTATAAGATTCTCTTTATGCCTTGCAGTTTCTTTTCTTTCTTTTGCTGACCTTTTCTGTTCCTTTAAACCCAGCAGTGAACCCAGAAAAACATAAAATAAAAAATAAGAAGAAGAAGAATTGTTTTAGGAAAGCATTTTTACTTTTTAAAAGGATTCATAATTTGGTGTTTTAGTAAGTATGCTTTTGTTTTGAACACAATTAGTTTACAAAGTCTAGGCTTATAATGTTTCATCTTGTTTCCATTTTTCTCACTATATACAAAAGCCAAGTGCTACCCACCAATATTTCTAGGCTAACTTGGGTCCAAAAATCAATTAACTGAAATTCATGTTATTTGTTATTTCAAGAAAGAAATAATGAATTTTGCTGAAGAAAGTTTTCTTCTCCAAAATTAACTTTTCATTTGAATGACTGATACTTGGAATAGAATGGAAATTTTAGAAATACATTAATACTTGGATGTAGTGATTTTAATTAATTTTAAAGTTAATTTAATTTTAAAAGATATTAATATTTTATTTTATTTTGAGACAGGGTCTCATTCTGTTGCCCAGGCTAGAATGCTAGGTGTCATCTTAGCTCACAGCAACTTCAACTCCTAGGTTCAAGCAAACTCCTGTCCCAGCCTCCCAAGTAGCTAGGACTACAAGTACCTGCAACAACGCCCAGCTAATTTTTTCTCTATTTTTAGTAGCAATGGAGTCTCGCTCTTGGCTCAGGCTGGTCTGGAACTCCTGAGCTCAAGCAATCCTCCCACCTCAGCCTCCCAGAGTACTAGAATTACAGGCATGAGCCATCATGCTTTCCTCAGAAAAACTTCCAAGGCTTCACCATGCAAATAAAATTAAAAGCAAAAAGATATATACTGTCCTATAAAATAACCGAAAAACTCCAAACCCCACCAGAAATACTTTGCTTTTAAGTATCAAAAGTATACACTCCCTGAAGAACAAACAAAATTACTTACCCAGCTGGGAGAAATTCAACTCTGAGAAACTAGGGTTTATCTCACTCAAAATACTAACACAAAATGCAAATAAATATGACAGTTCTAATAAATTATACATTTAGGAATCATTACATTTAATTCAAAAGTTAAATAATTCAAAGTTTATTGCTAAAATTTTTACTTAGATATTTACACACCATTAAAGATTTTAATGCTCGCCTTTTAGGAATAAATATTTCTGTAATCATAAGTATTTATGAAATAAATTGTACGTTAGGCATATAATAAATATAAAGACCTTGTTCCTATTTTGAGAAAATTACATCCCATTAAAACAGGAAATAACACACTTTTTCCTTTAATTCATGTTTTACCCATTTGTGAGTCACTTTGGTTTTTTTTTTTTTTTAATGACTAAGTAAAACATAAGAAAGGGTGCACAACCACACTGGGAGAGAAATGTCCTAGGTAATTACAATCAAAGGATAATAAGGTTTTTAAGTTTTATATACTTTCACTTTCAGAATCATTATGTTATTGCTTTTTTAGGGTTTATCATGAGGCATCTGAAAAAAATGAGAGGAGGGAATATGTTTTCTGTTTCTCTACTTACATCCTTAAAAAAACATTTCATATCTGTCCCTACTCCCACTTCTCTAAAAAATAGAAAACCAATATGTTTTGATCTAAATGATCTCCCATGATCACTACAAGCTATATTCTATAATTTATTTATATGTAATATTTAAATCAAGAAATAGAAAAAAATCAGGAAATAGGAGTGTAAAACTTCTACATTATATTTAAATCAAACTATTAAATTTATCATACTATAGGAAAATTCCATGTACCAATCATTTCCATTTCAATCAGAATTTTCTAAGGTCAACAACATTAATAAAATCAATCCATAAATAGATGAGCAACATAAATGTGTTTGTGTGTATGTATACATATATACAGCATGAATGAATTTGGTGTACATCCAAACTAATGCTATAATCACAATATTGTATAGAAGTTCTGTCAAACCCTGAAACTCTGGCAAAATTGAGCTATATGTATTCAGTTTTCACATAAAGTGTCTTTTATTACAAGACTGTAGTAACTGTTAGCTCTCTAGGAATAAAATATTAATTAACTGTTATATCTCCATCTAAAGCATTCTGGATAAACAAAAACAATAGTCAAGGACTATATAGTCTAGAAAGTTCCTTTCCAATCCATCAGATCCTTTTACATCAACCCATGTCCGACATTTGCAGTCTTAGTACCCTGTGCTCTACGAGTGGGGCAGAGAGAACAGCCATAATGAACTGCATGCATAATGGATCCTACAAAAGTCAAATGCAGGAGGAATAATAAGTGAAAAAACACTAGCTCTTAACTCAGGAGATGTGAATTCTAGTCCTACTCTACCACTAACTGGCTGCATGACTTCAAGTCTCATTATCTCTCTAAATCTCTCTAAATCTCTCTAGACCTATACTCTACCACCTAGACAAAATATGAAGTATGCTTCCAGAGATATTGGGGCTACAATATCAGTTTTGATAGAAGGTATTTACAAGTTTCTAATTGTGTCCCCTATTTTCCTCTTTTATGATTCTCCATATACACTCAATTAAGTTCCCTAAGATTCCTATTTGGAAGTATTCTTTACAAAATACAATCAATTAGACTAATCTTTCCTAATGTGAAAGATGAGAAACATGTATTTCTTTGAGTCCCCTACTCACTACAAACAGAGGTTTAAGAACATGCCTAATCTCTTACCTCCTCTCTATATCTGATTTTCTGAACTGCTTGTAGTCTTCTAGGATATTACTAGATCTTTCACTATGAAACAAACAAAATAAATTCTTCTACTTCTTACAGTTCTTATTTTTTCATAAATCAAAGTGGTTAACAAACTATAATGCTTTAGTTCTCAGTATTATCATTTTTGACAAGTCTCCATATATAATACTCACATGCTCTGAGGTACATATCTGCCCCAAAATATTAATAACATACTTTCCCCCCATATACTATAATGCATAATATAACACTTACCAAATATTTCATTACAATAAAAACTCTTGAGGAAATAAAGGAAAGCTGCACATGTATACTTCTCCTAGGAGATACTAAAACTAGCCATAATTTCAACCAACATTAAAAATATGCATTCTTTCTTTAAAGAAATATAAATGGCAATAAAGACTTATCAAGCAATAAAACTATTAATAAGTAAATGCCAAAGTATATATTATATAAACCTACCTTGCAACGGAGTACATAAAGAGAAAATCATTGTCTGGTGAGCCTGGGGTCTTGCTATAGTCTCTGTATTTCTTCTGAGTAGTATTTTTTATATCTTTCATTACAGATTCCATTTCTTTACTTAAGTTGGTTTCAGACTATAAAAAATGAAAACATACATATAAAGTTCATATTCAATTTATTTGATAATAGTCTAAAACTAAAATGTTTATCACATAAACATACAGGATATTAAAGTCTAAAAGTCAAAACAAATATAACATTATCCACTATAAACATACTTAGTACACAAAGATAAAACCAATCAAAAAATAATTTCTCTTACAAAGTGATATTTTATTCTAATTCTATACTGTAACTGATTAAGCATATTTTAAACACATAAAAACTTAAGTTTACCAAAAAAAAAAACCAACACAGATTCTAAAATTAGTCTTCACTTGATAAAGGCAACTGCCAGGTAATGACTCTTTCTAGATTTAAAGTGTACACTTCTGTTTCAAAAGTCAAATATTCATAATTTTCATACATCTGTGACATAAACCAGAGATCATGCAGTAAATGTACAATGAAGGTAAAATAGTTTAAAAATTTAAATCAAATAAATCCTACTTGATGGGGTAAAAGATTTGTTCACTTATACCAAATCCCACACTAAAAGGAGATTGGCTTATTGTGAATGGTTCAATCAATTACACAATATTTTATCTCTCTAATACATACACAAATGTGTGTATGTAAATCTATCCTAATTCTAATATATTTAATGTATACAATTTTTAAATTATTAGATTGTGCTTTATATTGCAAGGTGTATTTTATACACACACACAGATACATATATAGCTTGTCTGTTTTGCTTTGCTTTTAAATATTTGAACATCTTAGAAGAGCCTAACCATATCTAAGCATGTAGGAGTTCTGGATCTGTACATAACAGTAGCATTAAAACTGTAACAATTTAGACTAAGAATATTGCCCTTTAAGTATAGGGCTGAAACAAAAAAAGTATAGCCTTTGATAATAATTTGTTCTATTACTTTCACTTAATCACAAAGAGAAAAACCGCTAAAAGCAATTTCTACTAAATGTATAAATGTCCAGAGAAATTTATAAACTGTTGGTAAACTGAATGCAAATGAAAGCTGAAAACCAGAATGGAGTTAACCAGGGTATTTCTGCCTTACACTGATGCTTACTGGGAAAGCTCCCGGTCGTCCCTGCAGCTCCTCCACTTCCTTCATGAGATCTTGTATGTTTCTGTTGCTAGGACGTTGCCAAAGGTTATTTTCAATATTGCTTCCAGGATAACAAGGAAGAACACTATTAGCAAATTGCCTACAGAGGGGACATGTGAATTCTCCTTTGTCCACTGAAAAGCCCTGAAGAACCTGGTCATTCTAAAAGATGAAAGAAACATGCAGATGTATGATGCACACATTTAAAGAAAACAAAAATTACACCACCACATTTTATTTTTTTACACATTTTATAGTAAGTTAATGAATCATACCAAAAAATGTATCTCATAATGTCTAATGTATCTCATAAAGAAAGTCTCAAATCATTTAACTGTTGAAGCTTACCAAATCACTTTTTACATCATAGCAATTATGTAACACTTGACCTCACCAATGAACTGAGTATTTCAGTTTTTTCTCAGTATGAAACATTCAGATAAAGACATAATATGAGACATGGATTTAAAATAAAGAATAACTCAAAAAGGAGGCCACATTAAAGTGGATCACAGTCTTCTCACCTCAGCCATATTTTCTTAATCTTAGATGTTGAGTCCATAAGTGACTACTAAACAGAATATCCCAGTGCCCATGGTCTTTGATATACAATAGATAGCTTTTGAGAGTAAATTAAGCCTTAAGAAAATGACACTTCTAAGATGTCTAACCGCTGAACACAATGACTGGACAACTGATTTTATGCTCATTTCACTGTATGTTGTTGTATCTCAAGTACTTTAAAAGAACTGAATTTTATTTTTTTACTTTTTGACATTCATTTTTTAAGTCCTTAAAAATGTAAAAACATATCTTCTTCATTTCAAGCCTTAAAAGACTTACTAACCCCCATCATGTGCCATATGCAGTGCCAGGTAATGAAGAGTTAAGATACATTTTCTCCTATTAATGTACTCACAATTTAAAAGCAAAATTAGACAAATAAGTTATAGTTTGATATATGCAACAAAAGAGGAGGCTTCCCAGAGAAGGCGACTGTGAGCTACATTTTTAGGATATACATAAAGATTGTACAAGGTTACAGCATGGGTCCTAGTCACCAGAAGAACATTCTGTGTTAAGCTTCCCTACAGGATTATTTAATTCCACAGAAGAATGCTGTCTTCCTCCTTGCTGAAGCCTCCCCAGAAACCCTTTCAACTCCTCCTCCCATATACCTCACACCTCATTATCCTAATCTCCAGTGCTGGTCTGAAATCATTACTCCTGCATTCTCTTGTCTCTGTGGTTCAAGTCACCCCATGCCCTCAACTACTGAAGACTTTGGTACCTAGATTAGGTTTTGTGGGGTTTTTTGGGGTTTTTTGTTTGTTTGTTTGTTTGTTTTTGTTTTTTGCAGTTTTTGGCCGGGGCCAAATTTGAACCCGCCATCCCCAGGATATGGGGCAGGTGCCCTACTCCTTTGAGTCACAGGTGCTGCCCCTAGATTAGCTTTCTTCATCACTCCAAGTCCTGCTATTCTCCTACGCAACTTCAGTGTACATGTGAACAATCAATCTTATACATATTCCCCTTTGCTCCTTGACCTCATCAATTCCTCTGGCTATGATGTCCACTCTACTCCAGTATCTGTTACCATGACCATACTCTTGTCCTATAATGAAATGACCCAAAATTGTTCTGTCTGTGAAAATACTAAATTCGAACACCTTACATGCTATCTATCAACTCCTATCTCCTTCACTCCCTTCTTTTCTTCCCAGTTCATCAGGCCTATCCCATACACCATGTCTACACACCATAATCTATTACTTCAAAAATTCTTGGCAATATTTCCACCATTCTTGTCTAACAAAACCTTCGTACAAAATTAATACAATGTGCCTTCTCCAAATCTGCACTCAAACTGAGTGCTATCAGAAAAATATACCTTCTTGCTACAAACTATTTCCAACCTCAACTGAGCCCTGAATATTGCCTGGCAATCTTTCTCCAACATCCTAGGAAGCACTCTCTCACCTAATTCCAAAGCGGTTTTTCAAACCACCTCCTCACTTGTCAAGTCCCTCAACTACCCCACCCCTGCTCCTTTTAATCTAAGACTATAAGGCTATACGTCCTCCTTCAGTTTCCTGCCTTCTTCGGAACATTTATAATAATAAATCCCATCAGTCCTATTTACTTTCTTTTTACCCTCTTTGCTAATCTCTCCTAATTTGCCTCCCAAACACATCACTGCATGAACTAATGTACACAACATCTAATGTGAGACTTTGTTATTCTCAGTCCAGATCTTTTGATGATCACTGTGTCTCCGCTTGACTACTTCTTCCCCCTCAGGCTCCATATGCAACCTCACACCTTCTATATATATTTATTTCAAATATACAACCTCCTCCCCATCTCTACCACCATGACTGAGACCAAGCCACCATCACCTCTTACCTCCTAAATGATACTACTACATTCATTCTTACCCCTCCGTAATCCCTTCTGTACACAACTGTCACAATGACTTTTTCTAGATATGTCATATCTCTGCTTAAGAGCCTTTAATGGGTTTATCTAAAGAATTTCTAAAAAATTCCTATTTCCTATTTAAAAATAGAAAAGTAGCCAATGTACACAATGGTAATATGAAACCAACAGATAAACAACTATACCCCCACATAAAAGAAAAACAAAATTAAATTCAAATCGGGGGGAAGAGGAGAAGGACGGGGTATTGGTAAGCTCTTACCTAATGGGTACAGTGTAAGGGTATACAGCATACCCTCTGGGTGAAAGGCTCAACTTTACCTAACAAAAGCAAACAATGTAACCTAATCATTTGTACCCTTATATGAATCTGAAATAAAAAACAAAACAAAACAGAAGTCCAAATTCTTTAACTGGACCCCACAAGGCCCTTTATAATCTAACTCCTAACAGAAAAGATAGTAAACTAAAGATACAGACAAAACAAGAGTTACCTACTGATAGATGGATCAAGGCCTTTGAGGTGCTGAGTAGAAAAGAACACTGGAGTACAGAGTACAGAGTTATTCCTGAACAGACGAAGGAATACTACCTCAAAGAGTAGGAAGGAAGGATTAATTGGACTGTGGAATCATTTATCAGGGAATACAAAAACAAAGCAGGAAGCCAAGGGAGTATGTGACAGGAGGTGCTGTTTTCTTGGTGACTTGGGAAGAGACAAAGGGATAAAAAGAAACAGATTTTGGGTCTAGGGGAAGAGCCTAGGATAGGGCAGGCGAAGGTCTGGAATAGCTGCTGAAAGGAACAAGAGAGAGAACTGATCAAAGACAGGTAAAAGAATTGAGAGGCAGTATTTACAGCCCAAGAACCTAGTCTAAGTCTGCAAATTGGTGATACGAGTTCACTAGGTTTTATGATTAATCTGCCAAAGGAAGCAGATTAGATGAGACTGACAGTAAGTGCAGAACGGGCACAGCACAAGAAAGTGAGGCTAGAACAGAGCGAACACCCCAGGAAAAATGCAAAGGAGTAAAGGACTAGAGATCTAGAGATCTTGATGCCAGAGGCAAAACACACTAATGGGAGTGAAAATAAGAGAATGTGCAGAATTATTACCTAATAAGATGATATGGTAGCATATTAAAGCTTAATATTTTAGAACAAGAGTAGCAACATCTGAACTGCAGCCATGGAAGTCAGTCGCTAAAGCAAAGTAAAAAAATGAAAATCCCTCAAGTCAAAGAGAACAAGGAGGCTGGATCATTTATATGGTGATCAAAATCACTCAAAATGATAAATGTATATATTGTTAAATGTATATATTGTAAAAAAGATTAACTCCTCGAAAGATATATGCTATTTAGAAATTTTTTTCAGTCAACTTACCCGTAATGATTCCATGTAAGATTTATGACAATCTATATGCAATGTGTGGCCACAGGTTTGTACATAAACACCTCCTTCCCAGCCAATTGAAACTGCTAAGAGACATGAACTCTTCAAAAACAAAAGATAAATACAATTAGTTTTTTAAAAGTATAAACATTTAAATATATCCACATAAACCTCTGCATGATTTCATATTATTATCTTAACAGAGTTTCTATTTTTGTGATATAAATTAACACCCATCTAGACAGCCCTGAGGCTGTCTAAAACTAGCATATCATAAAGTTTTTTAGTTCCCAAATATCTATGCTCATAATCAAGAAGAACAAATATGATGTACTAGCATTTCTCCACCCCATAAAATGTAAGTTTTCAATACTATACCGTAGTCTGTGTAAACTATACTACTGTTGATCACTTAGCCTGTTCTATACAGTACTTAATCTCACTGTGATATCTAACGTTAACTTCTTAAAATGCGTACTTCCCTAGCTTTCCCTAATGCTACTACCTCTTGGCTTTCTTCCTTATCTGTTTTTCTTAGGCCTCCTTCCAAGATTCTTCTTTTTTCACCTCCCCCTTCAATGTTTATATTCCTCAAAGTTCTATTCTCAGTGCTACTCTCTCTCACTAAAACTATTCTCTCACACGATGTAATCAGCTATTTCTACTCTGACAGCCTGGATCTCTTGCCTGAGTATTTGATACAAAAACTCAGGTGCCAAACAGAAATCTCCACTTTAATGCTCCTCAGATAACACAAAATCAGTGTCAAAAACTTAGCTTGTTGTCTTTTTCCTCTGGGTTTAAAACTCCACAATCTATTTAGTCACTAAGTTAAGTCATTCTATATTACATCTTTACCTTCATAATATAATCTCAGTTCCTTAACCACATGGATTCTATCTCTTAAGTAACTCATGATTTTGGCCTCCCTTCTTTATTCCCACTATACCATTCAAGTGTACATTGCCTGGAGTGGGGAGAGGGGTTCTGAAACAGTTTAACTGGTCTCCTTTACTCCAATTTCTTCTATGATTTACCTATCTAGTTATGAAAACAACCCAAAATATACGTCTCAATATTTACAAGGGTTTAACATAATACACAATAAAGAAAGGACTCAAGCTATGTAAGCAAACTACATACCCTTTTGAAATTTGTTTTAAAAGGTAATCACGTTTATCTCCTCCTTCTCTTCTACCTTCAACTTCTCTTTCTCTGCTAATTCCTCCCTCTCAACCAATATACAGGTGTAAGACTTTTTCTCTTAAAATCTCTTTCTTGGAATTTTAACTATTTGGCCTCTGTCAAATGACATTTAGGCCTGAACCTGAATTCACCCTCTAAAATCTATAGTAAATAGATGGGCAGGCCAGAGTGATATGGGGCACAAGATCTAACTTGAGTGATAGTAGATGATGAATGATTTGAGAGTCATCAAATAAGCATGTTCTTATAATACTCCAAAAACTAATAAACCTTTAAATTTAATTTTTATGTTGGAAATTTATACATTATAATGTAAGATGACCAAATGATCTTTAAATAATAGCAAACAGTTCCAACATTAAATCACAACTCTTCCTGAGTATCTGAAAGTTGAAAATACCATATTGCATGGTAAAAAATGACTTCCCAGCAGATTTGAAGACACGCAACAGCACAAATCAAATATTCACAGCAGGTGAGCAAGTTTCTACTGTTACAAATCAGAACAACAACAGGAGGCCTGTTCATTTCTGTTTTATGTTTTGGAGATGCTTGATATAGAAGCAGATTTGGGTATTACATCATTTTAGAATGGTTGGCAGTCAGTTAATAAGCAAACTGCTCTCTGGCATGGTTCTATAAAAATGTAATTAATCATTATTTTTAATAAACAAGTTAGCCTTTAAAACTGAAAACAATGTTTTTTATGTAACTGTTAGATATCTTGAGTTAACTAGAGTCAAAAAAGGTGGTAAAACACTAATATGAAACTAATTTTTTAGGAAGACTTTACCAATGTGCCTACCTCCCACTGTACTAAATACTTGACAATGAATCTTCATAATCTCAATATTTATTAAAACCTCATACAGTAGTTATCCCTTTTTACAAGAGAGAATAAAAACTTTATGAAGACCACCAAGCTGTAAGTGATAGAGCCCAAGTTCAAACTCAAGTCTACTTTACTACAATGGCTCATGTTTTTCCCTTCTACCATGTTGTTATCTCCCACATAGAATACTGCTGGCTTCTACAGTGGATGTACTGTCTTATATAACAAAAATGACATACATCAACTCTGTAAAATGCATACAATTGATATGAAAAGTGCAGAATTTACACAGTTTAATTCGATAATCAGTATCAGTACTCATTGACAGTTATTCTTCCATTCTATACAGTTGGTTCTGACTACTGAACTCTGGAAGTCTTAGTAATAGTAAGAAATCCAATAAGCATCTACAATACACATACCATGTTCTAGCCCTTGAGAGGGCTATAAAACCACCATAAGAAAAGGTAGTAGATCTCCAGATGGATAAAGTCCAGGGAATATGCTATCTATACATAAAATAAATATTATGAAAAGTACACAAAAGTAATGATGTAGGAAAAAATATCCCACAATCACTATCAGAAACACAACAGAGTCCGATCCAATTCAGATTTCAGTTCAGAGCCTTTCTATAAAAAGACTTTTTCCAGAAATGAGTAACTAACTACGGGCTGCAAAAAAGAGATACTCTATCTTTTCTTTCCTTTATTAGATTTCTCCTTGCTTCAAAATTATTATGCTCTTAAGTCTTAATTGTATCTTGAATAAATGAAAAAAAATGTCTATTTTGTTCTGGGTTTCATCTTAACCCATTTACCCTAAATTAGTTCAAACTGATAAAATTAAAGCCAGGATGATGACAAGAAAAGAAAATCTAAATAATGTAGCAAATTTCTGTAAAAGCAGAACATAATTTTTTAATTTTCTTTAAAAAGAAAATATTGATTGGTCTCATCAATAAGGTAACATATGTACCCTACAAAAAATTCAAAGAAACAATGAGAAATCTGGGTGTGTGCATGTATATGCATCAATACACACACATATTTGGCAGCCGCTTTTACAAAATAACCATAATTTCATTTTAAGCCTCTGGAAATAAATGGAGGCATGGCACTCATTACCTAACCAAGTTGCCTTACAAGGACAGTCCTCCTAAATGGGCTAGCCTGAATATTAAAAACATCAGTTTACATTTATATTGACTTGTATTACATGCAAAGTGATCCAAAGGAACGTGTAACCTGTGGGTTACTGCCAGAAAGACCATTATCAACCCTGTTTTACAAATGAGTAACCTGAGATTTAAAGTGTTTAATGGATTTGGTCAAGCTCACATTCCTCAGAAATGGAAGAATCAGGACCAGAACCTAGTTTTTCTTGTCTAAGATTCTATAAGATAACTACCCTAATTAGAGCCATTAGCTCAAAAAGCAACCACAGACCATCTCCCTAGTAGAAAGGAGTAATTCTACTCCTGGCTCTTACTATCACTATATCAGTGACTGTTATTCTAATTAAGTATTCTATCTTCTACCTATCCTACCAATTTCTTCCATTTAAACCAGTGGATTTACAGGCAAGGAAGAAGTTCTACTTGGAAATCTATCCAGATAATCATCTGGATCACCTCACAAAGCTAACTGAAAATAATGCTTTACTTTGTATTTTAAATATTTTAAGCTGCTATCAAACGTTTACTTAATTCAAGATACAGTATATCCAAAACAATATAAGACAAAGGAAATCTCAGTGGATAATCTACTCAAAAAATATCACATATGATACAGAAATTTTTTAAAGTTAACAACATTGCTCCTACTAAATAAAAAAACTTTACCTTTAAAGCCTTGAGACATTTCTGAATAACAGAGCCCCTCTAGATGCAAAAATTTGGAAAAAAAAAAAACTACCAAGTTCACAAGAAGTCATAGAAGACAAGAATCAAATCTACCCCTACTTTACATTTTAAAAGTATTATGGTGAAATTTTATTGTGTATCTTTAAATGAAAGTAAATGGAGGCAAAAATCTTCAAGAAATATTCCTATTATATCTAAACATTTTTGTAGAGTTAATACTGACCACCAAGGCTTGTATGAAAGGTCTTTATTGGTGAGGGAGGGAGGCTGCAGAGCAGCACCAAGGAGGAGAGAAAAAGAGAGATAAAAAGAAAGCACATTCTTATATAGGTTCGGTTAGTGGAAGTCTCAGAATGATGACGGGATGGTAGAAGAGCCATTAGGGGCAGGTCATAAGTTTTAATTTTTCAGCAGGTAATTGGGACAGGGAGATGAGGTGAGTTTTGTGACTAGGAGATGGGCTTTCTGGGGGAGGGGCTTTTCTGGGGCAATTACCTAACAAATACAGTAAATTCTTACTTAATGTCATCCTTAATAGGTTCTGGGAAGCTGTAACTTTAAGCAAAACAATGTATTAACAAAACCAATCTTTTTTTTTTTTTTTGAGACAGAGCCTCAAGCTGTCCCCCTGGGTAGAGTGCCGTGGCATTATAGCTCACAGCAACCTCCAACTCCTGGGCTCAAGCGAGTCTCCTGCCTCCGGCTCCCAAGTAGCTGGGACCACAGGCGCCTGCCACAACGCCCGGCTATTTTTTGGTTGCAGCCATCATTGTTGTTTGGCGGGTCCAGGCTGGGGATTTGAACCCGCCACCTTAGGTGTACGTGGCTGGCGCCTTAGCCCGTTGAGCTATAGGCACCGAGCCAACAAAACCAATCTTATCCTAGTCTAATTGATATAAACAAGAGTTAAGTTCCTACAAGCATAATTGTGGTTATAAAAACATCACCAAAGTTCTAAATAGAGATCTAAAACACTCCTAATATGAAACACTGAAATGGATGTGAGCTATACACACATTTTAAGAGGATTAATAAAAACAAGTAAGATAATTATTTATCTAATTTTTGGTGATTCCATGAATGACGGTGGTAGCAGTGGTGGTGGGTTAAATCACCTACCTCTAGGCAGTTGGAAACCAAATAGTAACAAATATGCAGGCTCACTTTTGTACCAGATTGTTTATTGTCATGCACTTGTTTAAGAATTTTTATTTTATAATAATTTGTATTCATTAATTCATTAATTTAGCAACCCACTTATTCAAGTTCAGGGTCACAGGTGGCCAGAGCCTATCCTGACAGCACAGGGTGCCAGATGGGAACCAACTCTTGGGGTGGTATTGTGACAATTTAGACACACCAATTAACCTAATGTGAACATCTTGGGCATGTGGGAGGAAACCAAAGTACCCCGAGAAAACCCACAGAGACATGGGGAGAAGCAGCAAACTCCACACAGACAGTAGTAACACTAGTCAGGACTCAATTTTTTTTTCTCATCAATGTTGCAAGGAACCAACATTGAAGGAGACCACATTTTTTAAGGATCTGCTAAACTCAACATTCTACTGAACTAAATGTGTATTATCTGATATTTTAATTCATTAACAGTCTTCCATTTCTTTACCATCCACATATCAATTTTTGTTTTTCTAAGAAGCTTCCAAATTTAAAATCAGAATGCCATTTTTGGTAGGAGAAAAATATATAATACAAAGCTCAAGAGGGAAATAATCATCGATTTTGCCGACAAAAATACTATTCAACAAAGTAAGTACTTACATCCTTAAAATAACGCTGTAATAACGAAAGCCTCACATCATGAACTGCTGCACATGTATCCCAAGGGTAAATCTGCTCCTCTTCAGTGATTGGCAATTTTTTTGGCTCAACACTGTCACGGCACTGCCCCAAAACTACATTAACAACAGAGATAAAAGAACACTGAGTAACCAAACTAACCAACAAAGACTTGATTCACCAAGAAAAGTGAGTTATTACAAACTATACTAATATTTCCACTATTATAACATTTTTAAAGATCTCTTCAAAAAATGATACTCTAATTTTCTTTTGCAGAGTAAATAAAACTTCAAATTTGCCAATATTTGCTTTTTAAAATAGCACTAAAATATGAGTATGAACTCATGATAGATGGATGATGTTAGCTTTGGGTTTGTCGTATATGACCTTTATTACTCTGAGGTACAGCTAGTGTACAAAATTGTTAAAGGGGATGAAGTAACAAATCAAAGAAACTTTAAAAATATAAAATAATGAACAAATAAAAGCTTAAAATAAATAAGAACGTAAGTTTCATTAGAGTAGGGATTTTGTTTTATTTGGTTTCTTACTAGAATAGTGCCTGGTACCTAAGTGCTCAATAAATATTTGTGAAATAAATTAATGAATAAAATAAAATGACTATTTAGTATTTGGTGAAGAAGTTAAACATCAAGGGTCAATAATCTAGTAAGCTTTTCTAAGACTAGTATGGAAAAAAAAGGAACTATAAAAGCAGTCGGTATCCTCCCCCCCCACTTCCTTTTTAGTAGGCATTTCTGGTTTTGACAGCTCTAGACTAAGTCAAGAGCCATATTTGACCTCAGGGGAGTTTCCAATATTCAAAGATTTCAGGGAGTAAACACCCTTAAAAAAAAAAATCCTCTGGAGAAATATGTAATAATTTTACATTCTCTTTGCTTCACACATACTCCCATTGAAAACAGATTAAATTCAATGAGTCTAAATTGTGTAAAAGTCATCCCTGCCTGAAAATACATCAATATGGGAAAGGGTAGAATGCATTCGGACAAATTCTTCAATTTTTTTTTTTGAGACAGAGCCTCAAGGGTAGAGTACCATGACATCATAGCTCACAGCAACCTCCAACTCTTGGGCTCAAGCGATTCTCCTGCCTCCGCCTCCCAAGTAGTTGGGACCACAGGCACCCGCCACAGTGCACAGCTATTTTTTGGTTGCAGCCATCATTGTTGTTTGGCGAGCCCAGGCTGGATTCGAACCCACCAGCTCAGGTGTACATTGCTGGCACCTTAGCGGCTTGAGCCACAGGCGCTGAGCCAAATCCTTCAAAATTTTAAAATATTTTCTAAACTATGAATTGGCAAACATATCAATCCACATTCTGTTTCAAGAATTACTGCTTCCACTAGCTCTAGAAACAAGGGTATGCAACAAAATAGACTTTAAACCAAAAAAAAAAATAGAACAACAGAAAAGAAATAAGGCACAGTTGCCTGAATATACCTTACGTAAAGTAATTAGAATATTTAAACTGACAATACTTATGGGCTTAAGAAGCTTACAGATTTTAGAACAATTAAAATACCAAGAATGAACTCAGTTATTGGCCACCTAGTAATGGTGATACACCATCATAATTTAAAGAAAAAATAAGTAATAAAGTAATAAGATCTCTCTATTAAGGACTTCTTCCAGCACTCATTTCCAGAATCAGATAAAGAATCTCTGCTATTTGAATCTAAATCAATCCTTGGTACAAAGATTTATAGTTATAAATAGACAAAGATAAAACTTTCATTTAATATGTTTATTAATTTGTTGTATATAATTTAGCTTAAAAATGTTCCCATGTAAAAATTAATTTTACCTGAGGATGCTTGTAACAGTACAACCAATCCTGTAGGTCGGTCTTCAGAAGAGGGGCCACTCTGTCCACAAATAACACAGTCATACACTGCCTCAGAAACTTGTGGTTCTGCTGTGGTAATCTCCATAGGAATATCATTCTCAGGAGAATCTGAGGGAGAAAAGTTACACCTCTTAATTCTCATGGAGAAAAATCTTTCTTCAATAAAAACATACAGAAACGGCTCGGCGCCTGTGGCTCAAGCGGCTAAGGCGCCAGCCACATACACCTAAGGTGGCGGGT